GGCCAGTCTCCGTGGCTCCTCTGGCCCCACTCCAGCAGCTCCGTGTCTGTCCTGTGCTGAGGACCCCAGAGCTGGGTGCAGCACTGCTGGGGAGGCTCAGCAGAGCGGAGCAGAGGGGGACAATCCCCTCCCTCGCCCTGCTGCTCACACTGCTGGGGATGCCCCCAGTACAAGGTTGGTTTCTGGGCTGCAGGCGCACACTGCCGGCTCATGTTCAGCTTCTCATCACCCAACACCCCCAAGTCCTTCTCCTCAGGGCTGCTCTCCATCCATTCTCCTCCCAGCCTGTGTTTGTGCTTGGGATTGCCCCAACCCACGTGCAGGACCTTGCACTTGGCCTTGTTGAACTCCATGAAGTCTGTTATGGTCCCACCTCTCCAGCCTGTCGGGGTCAGCAGCATCACTGTAACCCTCTGCCCTGCTGCTCTGCACTGTCAGATATTTTCTTCACTTGGGCTTGGGAGCAAGGCACAGACTAAAGATTACAGGGAGGCCTGAGGGCTGTGGAGTTTCCCTCCAGTTTTCAAACACAGTCATGACATCGGAGGTAAAAAGCACAAGTTTGGTTATATTTCTGCTTTCTTTTCTACCCACACCTCAAACCTGATTCCTTCAAAGCTACATTCCTGTAAACCAGGGGAATGTCCAGCAAGTGTTTCCCATGTCTTGAGGAATGTAATGCGATTGCTTCAGCAAAATATGATCTGGCACTGGGGTGGCAGTATTTCATTCGCAGTATTACCCTGCCAAGAGATTTGGCCAAGGTGAAATTGCAGGGAGGTTTTTTCCTCCTTTCCCAGCTCCTTTCCTGTGACTCAAAATATATCCACTTTTTTTGTACAGAACAGGAAGTTAATTTAGCCCCAAAATGTTCAGCTCATGAAGCAGCGTCAGGGTTGCTGCAGCCTGTTTACTCACTTGGCTTCCACCAGAGTGGTGCTAATCCAAGCCAGCCAAGGCAAGAGTGGCAGATTTCTTCCCAGCCCCATGTAGGAAAAAAAGAGAGGATAACAAGAAAACAAAACCATTGCTGTGAAGCAGAGTACAGATGTCCTGCAGGGTCTTGCTAATGTCCCTTAATCCTCTTCTCTAAACCTTTCGGGTATTACTCAAATGTCTCTTGATCTCTTTTGTGCCAAACCTGATAGCTGACTGGTAACACAGACAAATGCTTGTCAGAGTCGAGAAGGCAGTAAAGTCGTTTGCACATGAGCCAAGCTATAATTAAAGCCACGATTTTGACTCTAAAAGGTCATTATCTCATCAAGCTTTCTGTAAGCACAAAGGTTTAAAACATCAAATGACTGTCCCTGGAAATTACAAGGCATTCACTATTTCAAATACCTAAATTAGCTTTTTTTTTTTTCCCCATAAAACTCTATGCAGGGAGTTTTTCCTTCCTTCCCAACAAAAAGGAAGCATTATCAGTAGCATACATGCAGCTGCAGTTTTTACTGTACCTGAACAACTGTTCTCACATATATCGGAGAGGACCGCGGAGAGGCGGGCGTGTTAACTACTTTGACCACGTACAGTCACCCATCCTAAACCTGTTCTCCTGACCTTTAGGTCAAATGTTCTCCTGGTGCAAGCGTGACTGTCCAGGGTCAGAGGAGCACTACACTATGCCAAATACAGCAACTGTTCACTTGAACAGAATAAAGGAGGGCTGAAAAGTTTCCTAGAAGTCAAGGTAGATGTTGTGGGCACAGGGATGTGTCCTACTTCCTTCCTTCCTGCTGTTCACTGACTCCCAATTTAATTTTCTAAAAAAAAAAAAAAAAAAAAAGTAGCCTCCCGAAGTGTGTAAGGCGACACAGCCTCTGCCACTACTTTAGCTTAATGCAAAGCTAGTAGTAGTAGCTACGGCAGCATTATTTTGTGGTATGTGTACCTACACTTTCGCTGTTTTGCAGATATAACAATAAAAGATCCTTCCCTTTTACGATCTCATTTGCCATGTGCTGAGCTACTCCCCAGCTGTACATTCAATGCAAAAAATCATTAGAAGGTCAGAACAGAAAATGCCTTTGTTTTAAAAACACCTTTGAAAGAAGATAATTGAGCTTTCATGCTTTGAAGAAGAATATTAAATTAGCATAAGACTTTTGTACCGCTACACATTCACAGTTAAGTGGATAGTGAACAGAAGGCTTTGATGTTGCCTATTTTCTTATGACTGGTAATTAACAACAACAAAAAAGGAGCTTAAGGAAACATCAACTAGATTTTAAAAACACACTAGCTAAAACAAACATCTACACAGAGAAAATAAATATCCCAAATGTTAAATATAATGATGAGAAATAAAAACTAAATCCTCTAAAGCGCTATCTGAAGCCAAATTATTGAAAAAATATAACAAAGGTTTGTCTCGCTTTCAAAAGCTGAATACCACTGCTTCCCACAAATGCCAGTTGTGCCTTATTCCTACAGACCATTTTATTTAAGCTTTAGTGTGTACTATATTAATAACATTTACAGCTAAACTCACTCTTGAATCAACATCTGTTCTGGGAAAAAAAAAAAAAGCGATGTAACCCAATGCACCTGGGTGTAATTACACTTTTTGCCCCCTCCCCTGCGATCGATATGAGGACCATATGACAACTTCCAAGGCAGCAAGACAGATGGGACTGAAAGAAGCCTTTTGAAAGAAGCATCAACTACTTTAACTTCTACCTCGAGAGATTAAATTGTCAACCTACATAAGAAATTAAAATATGGAGGATTAAAACCACAGTTTTTTGTCTTTATTAAGAACTAGGAAACATATCAGCAGAGCAGCAGTTCAAATGACACGTACATGAGCACTGACTGCATTTGGCTATCAGGGACATTAGCCACCTGCTATTTCAAA